ATATATATATCAATGTATACATAGTATCATATGTATATAAATATCACATGTGTATAAGCTATCTAAATAGATATTAAAAATTTGTAAAAATAATTCTGAACCTACCAACTTCTTCCACAGTTCGGAATTTCAAGTCACAAACACTTCCGATGCCATGAACGAGAAACAAAACATGATCCACTGTCTCAGGCTCGCCATCTTCAATGTGGAATTCGTCAAGGCCTCTCTTTATCACTCTAGGCCTACTACCAGCACCCTGTAAATATGTACTGTCCTCTGAGCCCTGTACAAATTGTGATTCAACATTTCCAACAGAACGATTCGTGCATAATGAGAAAAGAAAAAAAAGAAAAAAAAAGAAAAAGAATATGTAGCATGAAGAAATTGCAATTCTTCATATTTCTGAATGTGCAGGAGAAATTGCAATTTACGTTGCATTGAATAATATCTAAAACAATATCTAAATTGTTTATGTTGATGAAATTAAAACAAATTCTTCCAGGAATGAGTATTCAATTGAAACAGCTGAAAATATATTCAATTTATCGAGACATATAAATTATTAATTACACTTGTAGTTATATGCGGTTGCATTTAATTTAATAAATTTATCAATCAAATTCATTCTGTTTTATTTGGCTATAAAATATGTTTTCTATATAATGTAGTAGAACACGTATACTTTTAAAGTAATTGATAAATATTCAGAAATTTCAAACTTACAAATAAATTGACAATGAGTAAGAATGATAGTGCATTTATGTAATGATATAAATTATGTTTGGTAAAAATGTCATGTTCATACATATAGAGTAAAAAGAGAATTAAACAAAACAATTAAATTAGACACAACAAAACAGAATGTAGATGTTAAAATACAACAAAAACTTATATTATTAATGAACAATTTTGTCGTGTGATAAAAATCCACAATTAGACATTTATATACAGACATTTAAATAATAATTAGTTTACACAAAGTAATTCATAATTTATAGTATAAATGTGATCAAAGAAAATCAAAAGCAACAAAATTACGTTGAAGATATCATTTTTGAGAAACTGGAGTTGTCGAAATGGGAATACAATAGATAAATTGTATTTTACGTATGAATATAAATCATCGAATAAAATTATTTTTAGTCTTTGATTTATACTACGAATTACGAACTATTATGTAAGGATTGTAAGGACATTCTTTAAAAAAAGACAAAAACTTTACAATAATTCTTTTCATGTGTTATTAACTCTTTGAATGTCCATACTAGAATATAGTACAAATAATCTGAGATGCTATAATTAATAATACTTATTGATGAGATTCAAAGAAGATAATATATTACAATATATTGAGTAAATATATCAAAAGATATATTCTGAAAGATAAATGCATTTTTTCTTATATGCTCTTTATCCAATTCTCATGGTTCAAAGAACTAAACAAAAACTTTACAATAATTCTTTTTATGTATTATTAACTCTTTGAATGTCAATACTAGAATATAGTACAGATAATCTGAGATGCTGTAATTAATAATACTTATTGGAGATTCAAAGAAGATAATACATTACAATATATTGAGTAAATATATCAAAAGATATATTCTGAAAGATAAATGCATTTTTTCTTATATGCTCTTCATCCAATTCTCATGTTTGAAAGAACTAAACAAAAAGACAACAGGACATCAATATCAAAAATATATAATAAAATTTACCCCACTGCTGCCCCACGAAGCTGTCAGCTCTGGCGAAACAGCAGTCAAATAATGGACCTGAACCGTGGCACTGTGAAAGATAATGTACTCCCCATTGTTCAAGTCAATCCTCCGATTCCAATTGTTCAACAGGCATGCTTGTTTATATTCTTCCTCGAGTTTGGCGGCGGTACTTTCATCGTAAGGAACGTATTTCGACTCGGTAGGCCCTTTGAAGAACCAAGAGCATCGTCTCACTTCCGTCGATTCCCCAGTCCAATAAACAGGGGATCTCTGACGATGTAGAATGTCTACGTCGTAACGACCTCCATCGGTGGCAACTGTCGTTTCAGGGGTGATTTCACTAGAATTGTGAACCTCCTCTAAACGCAAGCTATCCTGCATAGAGAACGGGAGCCATAGTACTTTGTGTTCCACCTTCTTGCGATAAAACCAATGGTGATACACCTCCCTGTACTGCATGCGTTTATCTGTAGACCCAGCAGCCTGAAATTTATGGAAAAATTAAGAATATTCGTGAAAGAAACGAAGAATATTATAAAACAAGTAGGTAATGGATTGAAGGGATAAATTACTCTTATGAGTCAGATGATTGTGATGAGTATGACTGTGGATTTTTATATGAATTTAGAGATACATTTAAAAGAAATGGAACTTAAAATACTAGAATAATAGAACTTTCATGGGCAACATGAAGACTATTCTATTGTATTTATTACATTTTTAATCTTGCATCTACACTGATCATAGTACATATAATTAATATGTAAAAATAAAAATTCGCAATAAATAAAAGATATACATACATTTATAACATGTGTAAGCCAAAGGCCACTAACCATCATTTTTCTAAACAATATCAAATTTTATTAAGAACACTTCCAACTGTTATTTTTGTTAACTTCACTTACACGTGTGTAAGATAATCAAAGATCCTTTGCATTCGAAGCTATTCAAAATTTGTCTTCAAATTCGAGAGCTCCACTACGCACAGTGTAACGAGCAGAGCAATGGATAAAAGTTAAAGAACTTGAAGACTAAAACTGGCTCATTGTATCTTAAAATACTAATAAAAAAATATAGATTTCAATACTTTCCGCTATTTCTACTGATTGATAAACAAAGATTGAAAGATACTAATAAAGAAATATAGATTTTAATACTTTCCACTATTTCTACTGAATTTTCCAATTTTATTGCCAAAAATGATGCTTGAAATTTTTAGTACATTTTTTTTTAACACGTACCATTTGACTAATGATTTATTTGATTAATTTGATTTTTATAACTTATATTAGTACTACAAAATGCACCAGAATAACCTTCTCACAATATTAACAATTTATTCTAATTTTTTACATTAAATGTTAATCAAATTTATCTGGAGTTTCAAAAATAAGTTCCAAAGAGTACCTAATTTTTTGTACAATAATTGGGAATATATTAAGCTTCACATTGACATAAAATCTGACTGTTTAGAATTGCTGGAAATTGAGAAAATAATCAAAATCATTTTAACATGGTTTTCTGCATTTTTTACATTATATCGCAATATGATATTTTTATGATGGTTATATTTTTCAGAGGTGATAGCGAAGGCGATGAACTTGGGTGGTAAAAACAATTGGAAAGGACAGAAACAACTAATCAAAACTAACGGTCACTTCCAGGTAAGAATACTACTATTGTATTGTGTGGACAGAGTATTGTGCACAATCATCCCGCAAACATGTTTCATGATGCATTCCTGATAAATTAATAAAAAGATTTTCAATCGCGTAGCAACAGATTGCAATCGAAAAAATTGGCGAAACGCATTTTATTTATCTTGAAATCTCTTTAAATAGTACTAGAGGTCTTAAGTCGTAAATCGACTAATTTAAAAATTATGAATTTTGTCCCAAATGTCGA